TACATATCCAATATGAATAAAACCTAAACATATTCATATAATACACTACACATAAAATAGGAATTATCTATATAATAGTGTTCAACAAAACCTTCTACAAAGTTAGAAATAGTCGACATAAGTCTGTCCAATAGCCATTAAGATTTGAATTTGATTAATGTAAAAGACACTTAATTTTAAATTTTATTTACAAATACCTTAGTCATTGATGTATTGTTTCTAATCAAGTGACTAGTACATATCTATAGTTTAAAAGAGAATTTTGCAATTATTAATCAGTACTCAAAATGGTAAATGATTTTTTTAAAAGTGAGGATACAGTTTATTTGGCCTATATATGAATTATAAATAAAAGCAAGCTCTAAAATAAAAAATATTCTATCCTTCAAAAAGCGAAAGTAAAAGTGACTAACTGCATCATGTAGACTCACATAGGAAACAGAAATATCTGAAATGGTAGCAATTAGTAAGAAGAAAAAAAGACCAAAAGCTAAAGACAATGACCAGCAAATCATACAGGCAAGTTGAAGTTAAAAGGAAAATATTATAATTCAAAGAACTTTTAATCATCCACTTCAAGAGACAGAATGTATCTAAAGAAAAGATGACACTATTTGGCAAAGCTCATGGTATGTTAATCTGCAAATGGCATTATAGATACTGTATATTTTTAGAACAGACCTTGACAGACCAAATAACATACTTCTTTGGCATCTAGTATGAAAATGCTATTGCATCCTAAACTCAGTTATTTTAAATAATGTTAAAATTTAAAATTGCTAACATTTGGGCTTTTTAATTAAAATGGGGCAAAAAAAAAATTTTTCAGTACAATCCATACACTAAATTAGAAATTCTAGAGACTGGACATTAATTTACCTTATATCATGGTTTTGTTTCACTAATAAAAATAGGGATAGTTACTTCATTAGCCTCAGATAAGGAACAATTAATTTGAAATATAAGCCTCTTAAAAGTAAAAATTAAGCAGTGGCTTAAAATGAATATTAAAACAATTTAAGAGGAAAATATTTAACACAATGAATATCCAGGTCAAAAACAACCCAACAATCAAATTTTCTTATTTAAACCCAGGCTAGAAGGTTGATGCTAATGGATTGTTTAAACATGTGTATGTTTGGTAAGATTGAAAGATGTTAACAAGTACAGTGAAAGTGAGGCAGCATGTATTGCCGTTGACTATCACAATTATGGATCTTTTATTGTGCAACAATTTGGCAATGTGTCTTGAGACTAAAAAACAAACAAAAACAAAAACAAAAAAAAAACAGCCTAAGTCAAAACAAAGCAACAAACCACCACAAAACCAACAACAACAACAGAACCAAAAGTGAGACTCAGCAGCTCTTTGCATTCTCAGGGTCCATCCATAAGATGAGAAGTGGAGACAAACTAACTCCAAAGGCCTTGGATACACGGCTTCTCCTATGGTACCAAGTGGTCTCACTGTAATGCTTTTTGCTGCTTTCCCTATTAGACTTGAACTTCTTACTGTGTACCTGTCATACTTATTTTGGCATCTATCATGCCAGACAACCGTTGAGATTAATAAAAATGTCATGAATGTATATGAGATAAACTTAAATAAATGTAAGAGCAAAGTTACATATCATACAAAAGTTACAGGAAAATTCAATAGAATGAAAAATAGGCACTTGAAAAAGACCATAATATGTGTCCTGAATATGGTGAGTGGCAGGGGCCCTCAACAAGCTGTGGTTAAGCAGAATGCTAGGCAAAACCTGTTCTGAAATAATGACAGAAAGTAACCCTGTGACAGGGAGTTAGATGTGTGTTATACAAAGAGGAAAGTCTACTCTGTGGCCATAGACAGTCACAGGGGTTTGACTATAAAGCCATAGGATTATAAATTTGCCTTGAGCACATGGAATGGACTGCAGGAGAAAAGATACCAAATATATCAAATGAGAACAACAAAAAACAGCTCATAGATAGATAGGAGGCTGAGAACTCCAAGCAGAGCAGCAATAATTCAATAGAACAGAGTAAACTGATTTGTATTTAGCAATATAAAAGGTGTGTCATCAGTCTATTCACTCCCATCTTTACTACTACATCTTCAGTTTAAGTCACTGGCACCCTTTACCCCTAAAGACTCGGTTATCTTCCAACAGCTTCCTAGTACGATGTGAACAAACCCAGACTTCTAAGCATGGTTTGTGTACGGAATCCCATCTTTTTAGATTCCTTTCTTTAAATGACTTAGTTCTAGTCATACCTCACTTCATTTTGTTCCTCTCAACACTCATTTTTAGGGGCAATTTTTGAACAGGTGTTCCCACTGCCTGAAATACTACTCTGCTAGATCTGTAAAAGGATGGTTAGTATAAATCTCTTCTCGGAGATTCCTTCTCTAATCAGGTTCCTAAGGCAAATATAACTATTTGCTGTTCTCACAGTACATACCCACTATTCCACTTCACTTCTACAGAGCTGTTATCTCCCCTTTTGAAAGTGTAGGAAAAATCAATCCATACATAACACAGGACACAATGCATGTTTTAAAAAGCCCAAATTCTTCAGTATAAACTTGTCTGAATGGCACTTTTTTGCTTCCATTGTATTACTGGTAATTTTGTAGATTTAACTGAAAATGATGGATTTAAGATCACTAGGAGCTAGGGATGGTGGTTCATTCCTTTAATACCAGCATTTGGGAGGGAAAGGCAAGATCATGAGTTTAAGGTCGTCCTTGGCTATGCAGGGAATTCAAGGACAACTAGGGATAAAAGTGACCCTGTTTCAAAACCAAAAACCCACTACCACCACCAGATGGAAAGTGGTAAAATATTCAAGCTATTAGACTTTAATGATTTTGAAATTTGGTTACTGTAAAGTAATACTAGTTACCCTATCTTCAATACTCAGTCTTCTGCAATTTTTTTTTTGTTTTGTTTTTCAGTTTTTGTTTTGTTTTGGGATAGAATCTTCCTACATAAACCAGGTTGCACTGGATTTCCCAGACATCTCCTTGTCTTATTCTCTGTAGCACCAGGGGTAAAGGAGTGTGACATTGGCCATCTTGACTCCCAGCTACACTTTGAACTATAGGCCCTCCCACCTATCTATTCTGAATCTTGTATGTGCCTTCAAATATACTAGTAGGGGGAAAAAAAAAAAACAGGAGAAAAATTAACTATATGTATTGATGCACACACATCTTATATTTTTCTGGGGTGAAAAAACAGAACAGAAAAAAAAAAGAGACAAAGACCTGTTTTCCATATCTAATGATGTCTTACTCAGCCAGGGAAAACATCTGAGCTCAGTAAGCAAAATGATTGATAAGGTCTTGCTCGGATTACTTAGAACAATCTATACTCCTCTCTCACTTTGTATTTTATGATCACTCTGGACCACTCTGGTTTCTAAGTGTGCGGTTCTAGGCTAGTGCCATCACCTCTCCACTTCCATTTAATATTTAGAAAGATGAAATAAAATTTGTCCTCTGAGATGTAATAGTTTTAAAACTTTTAAAAATAAATACCGCTACTATTTGGCTAGTAACATGTAATTCTATGTGTTTTCAGGATGAGGTCTGTTTTTTCAACACTGATTAACAAAGTTCTTAAATGGTCGATGAGGAAATTCCTTCATCTTTAAAAAGAATCAGTATTTTCTATGAGCCTCATATGTGCCGATACAAAGGTGCTTCAGTTTCTGGAAGTTGGCACTAAAGAGACCAGGTACTGCCCTCTGAGAAGAGCTTATTTTACAAAATGGGTGACTCCTGAACTAACTGGGAGACGCAAGATAATTAAAATGATTCCCACTGCACACATTAGCTGCAGTTTAGCTGATCTCTCAACTCCTGATTCTTTGAGTTATTACCATTTTTAAACAGAAAATCCCATCTGTTGAATAGTGTAGGTAATTAGGTAGTAGTTCAAGTCATCTGATGCTTCAGTGTTTTGGTACATAAATGAAAGACTTGAATGTCAGAAAGCCAGAGGCCTGGTACTGTTATAGACAGAACACGCTGGAAATGTTGCAGGTTAAATATTTCTAAAGCATTCTCTGTGGCTTCATAGTAAGTGCAGCTCCAAAGATTAATGTTACTAACATTGTATAACAGCTGAACCACAAAGCTTTCTAAATCACTACTTTACTTTGCATGCATGCCCAAAATTTTGAGGGCACTGAATCAATATTCAAAAAGTTTTGAATTCTGAACCATTAAGGATTCAGGATTTTTAGATTAAGGATTACTAACTGACACATTCTACACAGACAGTCAAAATATGACATGTTCTATTTTCAAGAAATTTTGGCAAGGGATAACCAAACTTAAGTGATTAATTCATAAAACCTTTGGGAGGTAAGTACTATTATCTTCATTTACAGAAAAGGACACTAAGATAGAGGACACTGAGAATAATTTGACCATAGTTCTACCATGCATTATCTAGAACTCACACTGGATCTTGGAGGCAAACCCAAGTATTTCCTAACAGACAATGCAGAAAGATGAGTTCTCATTTGTAACAATGATAGGATATTTACTATGCAAAAGAGGTGACTTTTCATGTGAATGTCAATAGATTAACACAACAGCTTATTTACAAACCTGAATAGCACCCAGAAAAAAACAAGAAGGATAACTTCAGTAAACAGTAAGAAGGACACAGAGTAACTTCGTTGGAAGGCAATTTAACTGTAGACACAGAAATAAGCTAAGTATTATCAATATAAATAATCACACAATACAACACTTTCAGAATAATGGAAAGGATCAGAAATTGTTAAAGGTAACATAACTTTGGTTGATGTGCAGCTTAAGTTGAATATTTTGAAATCTTGGAGAAAAAAATCTGTAAAATCAAAATTTATTTAAAAAAAATAAGTTTCCAAGTAGAATAGTGCAATCACTTAAGGCTCCTCTAGGGTTCTCACACTGTGTTAAGATTTCAGAGAAGTAACACCATTCTGATTAGTGAACAAAGCACAGCTCTACATACGTTCTTTTGACATCTTGCTCAATCATGGATCGTAGTTCTTTATCTTGAAAGAACTTGTTCCAAAGACTCTGGAAAAATGAGAATAACCTAATTAAAACAATCCCACACTGCTTGACTTTTATGACTTTAGTTTAGCAATTTAAGTGATTGAATTTACTCTTCTCTAAGCTGCCACTTTAGATTTCTCAGAAACCTGACAGAAATAATTTTTATTAAAATCTAGTCTAATTCAACCCCTTACAATTTTTTCAATTCCTTGCTGTATGCATTTTTGAAGTTTCATCATCTCTGTAGGATGAAGGGCATTCCACTACTGTTTCCTAGTCTAAGAGGCATTTACATTCTCAAAATGTTAACTTGGGGAAATTCTAAAAACTGTAATGATGGGGTAAAGTGGCACACACCTTTAATCCCCTCACACTGGTGGCAGAGGCAGGAAGGTATCTATGAGTCTGAGGCCAGCCCTAACAAGTTTCAGTCTAGCAAGGCCATGTAGTAGGAACCTCTCTTAACAAAACAAAGGAACAAAACTAACCATCTAAAAGTTATTTCATATCTTATGGTGCTATAGCAAAGTTCATGCATCAGAAAAATTTTAATATAGCTATAAAATGGGAAAAAATTCTTTCTCAACTACAAACATAGGTGTAGGGCAGCAATGAAAAAGTAAGTTATATAGTCTCTGTTAAGTAATAACTATCCTGCACTCCATCAGGATATAAGCTTCTACACAGTCACTATGGGTAGGTAATTTCTTCCAGGGACAGTCCTACCAAATGTGTACTTCTAAGGTGCTCCTTAGCTACTTCCCACTCCACTGCATCCCTCATAGGGATGCTATTCCATTTTAGAGTTATCTCTTATGAGACCCACTGCACTTCCCCCTAGTGTCACTTATAATACATAAGTTTTTGCTCATTCATGCATGCGTGTAAATACACGCGTACACACACACACACACACACACACACACACACACACACACATGTCTTAGGGATGGAACCCAGGTGGCCAGGCTTGTAGGCAAGTACGTGAAAATTTAATTTTGAACACAAAAAATTCTTAGAATGTGAACACAAGCCTATAATTAGCAGTTAATTATTCAGATGAAAGTTACCCAGGGATAAATAGACAATCCATTTATTTCTCGATATTATAATGGATTAATGTTTATTAATTAATTAAATTAGCTAAATTCTGGCAAATTTTCCATGAAAGAAAACTGAGTTCAAGAAAACAGGTAGCCAGTTTTTATGTTGAAACACAGCTCATATTAATGTCAATATGTTTAAAGTCAAAATCAACTGTATAAATTTATAATAACAATAAAATATATTTTGGAAGACAACAGATAACTTGAAATTACCATTCATTTTTCAAAAATAGAGTAATCCTACATTTAAAAAGCAAGAAACAATTTATAGTGCAGTGGGTAACTCAGGAGAAATTGCTGTGGTGTAGATCCTGACAGCTCCCAAAGGCTGCTGTGTTGAAGGCTTAGTGACGTAACACCATTTGGAGGCAGGAGAACCTTCCAGAGATGGGTCCACAGGTGCTGAGCAGATCCCTCAATGGGGAAGATGCAAGCGTGAGGCCTGAGTGTGAGTCCCTAGCACTACACAAAGCTGAACATGGCCTTTTGTGGCTGTAACTCCAGCACTGGGAAAAGAGACCAGGGGATGCTACTCAGAAGCTGACAGCAAGCTTGAGCTTTAGAGGAGGACCTAGTCTCAAGGGAACAAGGCAAAAATGATAGCGCAGGATACCATGCTCACCTTTGACTTCTACAGGTGTGCATATATACGTGCACTCATGCACTACACACACACACACACACACACACACACACACACACACACTAGGATTTAGGTAGTTCAGTATTTAGAATAATGAAAACACAGGGCATGAAATACATTGTTTGCAAGGGATTTTCATATAAAGTACCCTTACACTACACATTAAAGTGTGTTTTTCAGAATGAAAAAAAGTTAGAACACAGGTTTGAGAGATGACTTGGTAGTTAAGACCCTGGCTGCTCTTGTAGAGTACTTGGTTTGGTTGCCAGCTCCCACATAGTGGCTCATAACCACAAATAACTCAAGTTTCAGGGAATCTACCATGCTCCTTTGGCTTCCAAAGCCACCAGGCACACACAGGGTACACAGACATACATACAAGGCAAAACACCCATACACATAAAAGAATGAATTAATTTTAAAACAAACAAACATAATAAAAAGGAACATTACTCCTTCATCTTGTGAAAGGGGATTGTTGATCATCAGATCCTGCTGGCCAACAACTTTCCTTGGATTAGTGATATGCTGGTAAAGAAAGAGACATATAGCAAGATCAGAGGCTAATGAACTTTAAAGTAAGCATATGAAAATAACTGCAGTAGTTACATTTACTCTTTACTTACTATTTCTTTAATACTGCTATACCATGCTCTTAGTTCTTTAATTCTACTTATCCATTGACTTTTATCTTGAGGAAGAACACAAAGAAAGAGCTATTGGGGGAGGGAGGAGAAAAAGAGAAAACATTGTAAAAAAAAAAAATCTACTATGTATGAAAATCAGGCTAAATAAGATCTTTTGAAACTTTAAAGAAACACCACATTCATAATATGTCCCATTCAATATAATCATTTCATTTCCCAAAGTATATTCATGGATATATTAAAAATATGTTTAGAGTAGTCAAAAATTAAGCAATCAATGCTTAAAAGCAAAATTTAAAAAGTTAAACCACAAAATAGATTTAGCTTTCTTCAAGATTGATTCTAAAAAGGCAGGAAAACACATGGAGGCTCAAATCTAATGGTCCTGGGAATGGTAGAAAGGTACTGCAGGCAGCAACTGGTAAACAATCCCTAGGTTTGCATCAAGTCAGTGACCTGAGGGCTGAGGGCACAGAAATGAGGCTGCACCTTAAATAGCAGAGAATGTAATTTACAACTGGCAATCAGATTTTCACAATAAGCATTCATAAAATGACAAATTTGATTTAATTTAGTTTTAATATATTAATAAAATGAATACAGACTTAGGTTTATTTTTAGTAAATGAAATATACTTAAAGTTAAACAACAGGGAATGAGGGTGGGACACAAATATTTGAATACAAATTTTCTAACAGCAGGTCTTCTGTCTGATTCTTAAGAAAGAAAAATGTATTTTCATTATTAAATCTAAATTATTAAATCTAGAATTATATAATACATCATGTATTTCTTATTGTTTTGATTTGCACAGAATTTGCATGCTCAATTTATGCACATAGCCTTAAAAATGTTGATAGAGGTCATTTAAAAAATAAGTCTACACCCAAATTCATTCATTTTAGAGAACAAGGAAGGCTAATTTTTTAAAGCAATTAAAACGATGACGGCAGATTATCATTCCCACTTTTGGTAACCAATGACCCTTCTCTCCAAAGGAGAATGACCCAATTTCCTTCTGCTCTCCTGGTTGCCCTCCATTTTATGTTTCTAACAAAAGAATGTTAAGTCTTTTCCATGTGCTCTTTAGTAAGACAAAAGGAGGATGATTAAATGATAGCATCTCAAATAACAGGAACTTCAAGCTTGCTCCTCCACTTCTGCCCAACTTCAAGAAAATCTGAAAAGCCCCCTCCAGGAAATTTAATAGTGCTGCTCTGAAATGTTCACTACTTAAGAAAAGAGTTACTTCAAAGGATTCATTCACTAGCTTCACTTGCCCAGGTGCCCCAACCTTATTAGTAAATGTCCAATGAAAGGTAAACATGAATGGCTTAAAAAAAATAAATAAAAGAGGAGTAAAATATCCTGGAAAATCCTGTGATGCAAGCATGGGTAATCTTCCAGGGCATCAGGTAATGTGCTGACATAGGGCCACCACAAATGGTAAGTAAATATTTCCTTCTTACCTTCCAGCAGATGCTGCGGAACCTGCTGCTTCTCAGCTGCCCATTAATCCCCTTCTGTCTTATTGTTGCCAAGTAATTGTTGTTTACAAATAGTTCTTCCCATTCTTTCCTGTAGGAAAGAAACCAGATCAGTGGTGTCCTTTTGTTAAAATCCTTCTACTAAAGAGGAGTGCTATAGGAAACTAATCTTAAATAGCCTAAGAAATTTAACTTTTAAAATGCATGGATTTAGTGGTGTTCTGTGTCTGAACGAATGGCTGTCTTCTTGGACACAGTTCTTCTGTAGATTTAATGAATATGTAGATCGCTATAATTATCCTAGCTTCTTAAATTTGTAATGTCTATGGAGGCTATTCCATTTCCTCGAAAACAGTGGTAGTGTGGTTTCATGAATACATAAGAAAAATGAGTCTTATAAAATACGACTTATTTATCTATTAACAAAAGTACACCTGTTTCCAAAATTACATGGGAAAGAAGGGGACTGTTATATTGACTTCTCACAGGAAATACCTCTTTGAATGACCCTGTTTTGTTTCCTGCTAGGCTGGACAGTTAAATGTAATAGAATACCACCTTTTTAAGCTGTGCATGTTTCCTATTGAATTATCGACAGCTTCTTTCTACATGATCAGTGGGAAAATGTTAACAGATGCAGAGAAATTTCAAGAAAGCATCAAAAAAATTTAAAAGCTTCAGTGTAAAAACTGTTAAAGGCAAAGCTTGAATACCCCGTAGTAACTGTGGCTAAGTAGATAAACCACTGAAACATGCCTCACAGGTATGCAGGCACCAGGGGCCCACACCTGTGTCTCATTAATATACAAGTAAATCTGCTCCACTGGGAAACAATTGGAAATTAATTGTCCCAAACCATCACCTGAGGTTGACTAAAGGCATTAGAGCCACATTCCCAGCATCTTGCACCAAAATAAACGGTAAGTGTCATTTGTCACAGGGATGCTACTGAGATCAGCTTCATGAAGTTACCCTTAAATTCCACAATACTACAACCAAATTGACTAAAGATATAAAATTGAGATCAAAGCCAAAGATCTCAGATAAAATATCTGAAGAAAGGTGGCCTTAGGAAGAAAGCTACTGAAACCTCAGAAACACAAGGCCATCACTGGCCAGATTCCATGTATGCTGAGAATGGACAGAAGAATAATACCTTTGAAAGACTTAAAAATTAGCAAAGAAATATAGCCCAGATAAGGAAACTCTCTAAACTGAATGTAGGGCAGCCTAACCCAGAAACTAAGGCCACTACTATGACTTAGTGCCTGGAATTTACCAGCTTACAAGGCCATAAGATAACTGGGTACCAAGAATTCCCAGATGGCCACCCTCCCCGAGGAGCTCATGGAGGAAACAGATTGCCTCACTGGCCAATGTGTCAATAATTAACAATTAAGAGTCCCTATGAAACAAAGAGATAGTTACCGTTTGCTCAGGCAAGATAAGCATATCCTGAGGTCCGCAGGTTTTACAACTGGTGAGTCAGGAGGCCATCTGATTGCCAGCCCTCTCCTCAAGACAAAGGGCCTCCTAGGAACCCATGACTCTGGTCACGCCCCTCCCTAAGCTTGTGGTTTTTGCCTTTAAAAACACCTGTGCCTGGGGGACAGGGTTGTTCTCTAGCCTGCATGCTGAGAGAGCCCGTTTGTACAACATCCACCTTTCATTAAAGCCTCTTGCTGTTTGCATCAAGTTTCTGCCTCCTCACAGTGATTGGGGTGGCGGCAGTCCTGGGAAAAGATTCTGGAGGCCTGGGCTTCTGGGGTGGGGGTGGGGTCTTACACCTTAAGAAAATGTTAAAAGGACTAGAGATAAAGTTCAGTGGGCATTTCCATGGCATATGCATTTCAGTACTCAGTACAGAGCAAACTTATTTTTAAAAGTGCCATGATGGCTGCTGACCACATGAATTCACAGCAGAGAGGTCTGGAAGGTCAGCTCAGTTTAAAATCCCAACATGGAGTTAGGGGGGGCTCCTGGGGCACTCAGACCTAGCTTAGGAGCTTTGGCTTCTTGGGAAGAAGTGTGATGGCTATTCTTGGTTGTCAGTTTAACTATATCTGGAAGTACCCGAAACTCAAAAAGAGTACACACCTTTGAGGGTTTTTTGCTTATTTGAAGCAAAAATCCACATGCCTTTAATCCATATCCTTTGAAGTTGGAAGATATGTATACACACACACACACACACACACACACACACACACACACACAGAGAGAGAGAGAGAGAGAGAGAGAGAGAGAGAGAGAAATTTATTCTGCAAATTCTGTTACTCTAGAGAACCTTGACTAATTCAAGGCCACTGGTAGATTACCCATGTCCCAGCAGGTAGATCTAGGCCCCTACAAGTATGTGCAACACTTAATGGACTCAGTGGATTAAATAATAAGTATTTTTCAGTTCCAATGAGTTCCACATATACCCATATTGTGTTTTTATGAAACTGTTAGTAATATTCAAAAATGAGATAAAGAAACACATTAGAGAGATCGATCTATCTCAGGTTGTGATAGGCCTGTGAACAAAAAGAACAGATTTCAAATGTATTTTGAATCCCAAATTAAACTAAATTTGTAAAACAAACAAACAAAAATAAGTACCTTAATGGCCTGAAAGCATCAATAATTCTGGATAGGAAAAAGAGGCATGAAGTAGTGACTTCCAGTCTCTGGCTAGACTGCCATCCCATCAAGTCAAGTAGGCTTTTAAGGTCAAGTTGTGTGCTCCTTTAATTGAAGGAACCAGCTTCCCTTTTGGCAGCCATAACGGCCGAACACGTGTTTCTATGACCTTGACCTAGTCACTAGAAAGTCAGATTCCTGTCTCGTGACAGGGAACCAATCAGAAGTTAGCTGGTGGCGCTATGCTTTACGACCCTGGGTGTGCTTTACGGACAAGTGCACAGCAATGACGCACAGCATAGCAACCACCCTGGGAGGGCCTATGGGCCATAACAACCAGTTGACCAATCAACACAGGGCAAGCCCTCCAAGGCTGGAAGCACACCAATCGTGAGGCTGTGCGTAAGCCTGTGCTTACCCCCTAGACATTCCCCTTACGCTGCCCTATAAGATCTTTTGGGAGACCCTAGGAGCCGTCTTTTCTAGCTGTCCGCCATGGCGGGTGGGTGAAAGACCCGAGCTAACATGGGGTTAGCTCGTTAAATTACAATAAAGCCTCGTGCAGTTTGCAGCAAGCTCTCGAATCCGCCTGGTGATTGGGGTGACCTCGAACGTGGCCTGGGACCCCGAATACTTGAGTTTTTGGGGGTCTAACATAATAATGAAGCACAGCTATCAGCTATGATGAGTAAGACCTTGAGCCTTAACATTGGAATAGTATTTGACCAATCTACTGGGATATAAAGCAATATTTATGCAGTGTTTACTAAGTACTCAGCATTCACAGAGACACAATGGGATGTGATGTTAGGGGAGTGAACAAATTTTTAAACAAATGATGATAAGATGAACAAAGCTCTTTGGTAGAAGAAATGGCTTTATTATAATTAAATATTATATTATAACATGATATAATTAAAATCACAGCTACTGAAGTTTTACATACAGGAATTGATGTATCTGAAGTTAAAAAGACTACTAAGGGCAAGATGGTCTAGAGGAGCTGAACCAAAATGAATTTATTTTAATGAGCATGAATACAAATGATAGAACTAACTGATCCTGAACATGGGGGAAAAAATATGAAACACTCAGGAGTTGGTGATAAGAGTTTTCCAATTTATTTAGTAAAAATAAAGAGTCAGCGAATTTGGTCTTATACTACATCAGACATCAGATATAAAGGGTAGTGGGTAGATCTGAACTGCAAAACCCTGTCAACTATGCCATTACATGACAAAAAGTTCACTTAATATTATAGGGAGGAAAAAAAAAAAAAAAAACCTTTTTGTCTATTTGTTTTTGTTTTCCAGAAAGGGTTTCTCTATGTACCTCACTCTGCTGTCCTGGAACTTTCTCTATAGACCAGGTTTGCCTCAAACTCACAGATATCCACCTGTCTCTGCCTTCCAAGGGCTGGGATTAAAGGTATGTGCCACCACTGCCTAAGCAAAGAATTTTTAACCCCTATTAAAACCAGTTTCTTAATTCTTCTTTTCAAATGAGGAAACAAATATTTAGAAAAGTTAGACTACTCACAAGAGAAAAAAAAATCAGTATAAATTAGGAAAGAGCCTTTCTAGAACAAGTAAGCTATAGACAGAGGATCCTGACAGCACAAGGAAAGTGATCTCTGTCAATTAAGCAGGACAGAAATGGGACACATGCTTTCTCCTCAGGCATGAATTACTATTCAGTGTAAGGGCAAAAGGTAAGTTGTCAACACTCTGCCTGAGAAGATGTGTTATGACCACAGTGAAGAATGACCTGGTACATTTAAACATTTAAGAATTCTTTATGTTTTAAAGATTTCATATATGAGTACTACATTTACAGATTTCCTTACTCCCTTTTTTTCCCTCCAATCTTTCCCACATATCCTCAATCCCTCTGAAATTCATGGGTTTCTTTTTCATTACTATTACTGTTTTATGTGCATACAAACTAATACAGAAATAAAACTCACTAAGTACACAAAGTGCTGGTTTTGCTCATATGCATGTTTAAGGCTGACCATACCACGTGGTATTGGATGACCATTTAGGTGGCCTCATCCTTAGGAAAGACAGATTCTCCTTCCCTAGGCAGTCATTAGCTGCCTATAGCTCTTCACCTAGGAGTTGTGTAGGGAACTATAGAAAAGTTCCATTATGGAAGGTCTTAAGGTCCAGCCTCAGGCTTCAGTAAACAGGAGCACCCAAAAGCTCAGGCCCACTGTTGTATTGCTAATACTAGCAGGTCTACTATTTATGATGGCCTCAGGATAATATGCCTCCTAGTTTGCATCTTTATGGGCCTAAGCATCTGAATAGGCCAGCACCTGGGCTGAGGTGCTAGGTGTGGAAGTAACAAGTGAGGACAGAGAGTTAGGAGCAATCTGGCAGAGAGGAGTCAACAGAAAGACAGAAATGGCCTCCTTGTAGCCATAGAAGCATGGTTAAGAGACAGCCAAGAAGATGCTAAATA